CAGCTTCAGTCATTGCAAAACAGCCCGAAATGATCCGAAACCACCCCGAAACACACCCGAGGCCCTCGGGACCTCAACCAAACACGCCAACATATCCCATAACATTATTAAACTTGTTCCAACATTCGGAATGCTCAAAACAACATTAAAACACCAAATTTGCATCGGATTCAAGCCTAACAATTTCAAGAGCTTCCAAATTCCATTTTTGATCAAAAACCCAACCAAACCACGTCAGAATGACATGAAATTTTGCAGACAAGTCCAAAATGACATAACTAAGCTACAGCAACTCTCGGAATTCCATTCCGACCCTCGGATCAAAATCTCACCTATCAACCGGAATTCGCCAAAATACTAACTTCGCCAATTCAAGCCTAATTCTTCACCGGACCTCCAAAATCAATTCCGATCACACTCCTAAGTCACAAATCACCTCCCGAAGCTAACCGAATCACCGGAAATCACCTCCGAGCCCTCTAACTCATAAGTCAACGTTCGGTTGACTTTTTTCCAACTTAAGCCTTCCTTAAAGAGACTAAGTGTCTCATTTCTTATCAAAACCAATCCAAATCAACTCTAACACACCAAATACCGATAACGAAACATGAAGAAGCATAAAATGGGGGAAACGAAGCGGTAACTCATGAGACGGCGGGTCGGGTCGTCAGATGAAATCATTGCATACCTTCTTCCTTAGAGCACCGAATAGCGAGAAAAACAAGCGAAACGCTTGGGGCTGCCTAGCGTCTTTCATTTATTTTCCTTTATCATTCATACTATTTTATCTTTACTTGTGATTTGAGTTTATCTCAAATTTTTGGGATTATATGTTAAAAATTTGTACTAGCATAGTATGTTTAATTATGTAGAATCTTTACTTTTGTTATCGATTTGGTACTATCTTAATCACATAAATGTAGCTAGTAATATAAGAACTTAGAATCGGTTTTTAAAGTGGCGCTTCAAAACCTTTTCATCAAATTATTTTCTAACGGCCTTGTGTTAAACTTTCGTAAACACAAGATTTTTTAAGTCCGGCGGAATGATTTCTAAAGTATATATATATAAAAACTATTTTTGCAAGTCCTAATGTTTGAAGAACGATTTTATTGTTGGGTTTGTCAAGGCAGTGTGGGGTTTAAACATTTTCCTAGAAGTTAAGTCCAAACTGTTTATTGTTTAAGTTTCAAATGCATAAAAGTAATTTGCTTTCTCAATTATGAATGTATACAATACAATTCTGAAAGACTCATTTCTCTCTTCATAACATTACTACACGGGTTTTTTTTTAAATTTATTTGACAAATGTTTTTTAATGCAAGCACATGTTGCTACTTAATTTTTAAAATCAATTAACCTAGGTTTGGTCGGTTCACCATAAGTAACGGATCATATAGGGTGCTTCGATAACCTTCCCTATAAGATTAACTAGAACCCTTAATCATAATCTTTAGGTTAAGACTATAACAACGAAGTTAACTTCTTAATAAAATAAGGTGTCCTAATTCACCCTTAATCAATTAGGTGGCGACTTTGGCAGTATTATATTACGACGATGTTACACCCAGTAGTATTGTGCGCTGAATTTGTCGTAAGATAATTGACATCAGTTCAAGGACAAGATTATTTGGAGATTATAACTATTATGTTATTTCAAACAAGTGATAAGTAAATTCGTGAAGGTGAGAGGGTAAGCGAATCGAAGAAATGAGTTTCGTCGAAGTTTGACAATTTGGGGATAAAATATGGTCCAAGCTATAATACCCGATATTTATGGACTAGTACCATACAAGGTACCACATGACCATGATAGTAAAGTATATAAAATATGTTAAAAGTGAGTAGTATTTTAAGTAGTTTAAGATTCTTAATTATGTGGATAATTGGGTAATTATAGATTTTTAGTGGGAGATTAACTATGTAATTAAGCATGTTTGGATAAGATTGACGGGCCTCCCACGTGGCAGCCAACTAAGCCCACGAAGTGACTCTTAAATTCATGTGAAAGGTGGCATATTTAGAAGGTTTGGTGTGGCTAAGTCACCGCATAAGTGGGGCCCACACCCAAAGACTTAAAAACCTCTCTAAATTCATTTTAAATCTCTACAATCACAAGGAATCTTCAGCAAACTCATTCATAAAAGATTAGATGTTAGCAACGTGATTTTGCTACAAAAATCATACGAGACTACGTAATGTTATAGCAACGGGATTTTGCAATTCTAAGGGAGTACACTACGATCTTTCTCAAAGAATATCATACGGATTTTCCCTACTTCGATCCGCCGTTATATGTTTTATCGTAATCAACGTGTGTTAGAGGGATTGTCAAAAGAATCGGTTTAGGTATGTTAAGGCTATCCCTTCTTTCTTTTTGGCATGATCCATATGATACAAACGAAACGAGCAAATGCACAACTTTCATAAATGACTCTATTCATAGAAGTACTAGAAGTGCCTATGTTCTTGATTCTTCAAGTGTCCTATTATTCTATCATTTGTTCATGGGTATCAGAAAAATATGTAAGTTGAAAAAGTTTACTTCATGATATTACTCAAAGGCATAATGGTCTTATGACATCCCGAAAGATTTTATTAACGTATTCTCATGCATTGCATTCATTTATACATGTACATTGACCCATGACCAGATGACGTTATATATGCGTATATATGTTCTCATGCATTGCATTCATTTATACATGTACATTGACCCATGACCAGATGACGTTATATACGCGTATATATATATATATATATGGGAAAAGGTTACGGCATTATATACACACCACCACCTGATCAGCTGGTATACGTTGATGATTTTGCCCATAGTGGCCGATATGATATGATGGGATTCCTTCAGAGGCTTGATGATGTTATGAACACATGTACCTATGCACGACATGACATTCATACGCATATGCATGACACTATAAGTATTTCATGATTTACAGAGTTATCCAGACTTACAGGTTGAGTCATTTACTCTAAGTTTCTTCCATGTCTTTTATATACTTATTTATGTGCCTTACTATACTCGGTACATTATTCGTACTGACGTCCGTTTTGTTTGGGGACACAGGCATTCTGCCTGCAGTGTATTAGACATATCAGTTTGACGAGGCCCTCATAGTAACGAGGTTTAGAATTCAGCGACATGATCGGTAAGACTACAGCGGAGTCTATGAGTCATCGTGTTCAGAATTTTGCTACAGACTTATGGGTAGACCGGTACCGCTGTCCCATTGATGTCAAATAACTCTTAAGGCTTTGTGGAGAGAGTTTATTTTTTGACAGTATGTCAAAGGCCTTGACGGCCCCATATTTATTCATGTTTTTAAGAAAGATGGTTCTAGATACGTGTTTCCGCAGTTATAGTTATACATTACGGTTGTGGCCCATGTTGGCCAGTTACCAATGATAGTACGATTAAGAAAGATATGTTACGTGGTAGTGATTGAGTAAGGCACGGGTGCCTCGGTTTGGGTCGTGGAACATTATGGATAGTTACGCTATAGTCAAAGACAAATGGATTCAACGTTTCAAATATAAATAAATTCGACGTGTAACCGGATTTCTTAGCATTGAACTCCTTTTACTTTTAATTTGAATTCAGATTTAAATATTTTAAATTTTAGTAGATTTCATATATAAATCTTTCTACATGAAAAATAGTTGGTTCGGATGCAACGTCCACCAAAAGTAGATTGATGTGAATGTGATTCAAAATTCTGAAGTCTATAAGATAAGAAGAAGCTTTCTTATACGCAGGGACTAGGTAGATGAGCCCCGGGCTTATGTCGGGCCAATAACTTTAAAGTTTTCAATATATCCTCTATGATTATTTGAAGCAGTAGATTCAAAAAAGAAGTTGCACGGGGCAGTTTTAGAGCTAAAGTATCAATTTTTTTGAGCAATTATGGCTTGCTACTTCATTTCCGCAGAAGTTAAATTGTAATATCCAACAAGTGATTTACCTTCAGCAGTATTCAAAAAATAAAATATGTGCTACTGACAGAAAGCAAGAAGTTATACTCGATCCCAACAGTGTGTCAGTTGCAGGGATAGGATCATCGATTGACAAGCATCTAAAAAAATCCTTGTAACTTGTTACAAATGGTGTCAACTTATGCCACTTTATATCCATTTTTTTTCCAGTTGAGAGGCCCAATGTACGTTATTTGCACTTCCATGTGCATTAGAAAATACGAACATTATATGAAGTTAATCGTATTTTTAGAATTAAATAAATCATACATCATATTGCTAGACTTTTACTTCTCCTTTTTTACTTTTTCATTGAATTTGTAGACAAAATTAAATATTCGTTGCATATTTGTAATTAGTTCTGGAATGGTTTGGTTTTGAAGAATTTTAAAAACACAATAGACGCATGTCTATTGTGTCTTCGAAGTGTTGGATTGAATTTAATTATCGAGAATCATTGTGATAGGTATTAGAATGTTGGATATTAAATAAAGATTTGTTTGACCATAGATAATTTGTGAACAAAAAATGTGTTCACAATTTTGTTTGTGCAAGTCGTCTGAATTTGTAAATGATTGATAACGAAGTTGTGACAATGACTAAAATATTGTACCACAGTAAAGAAGTAAACGAAAATTCACTTGACCCACATAGAAAAACCTCTGCTTTCAACATAATAAACCATCTTCACATGTTAGCTAGTATTTTTTTTGCAACAGCGACAAAATGAGCTGAAGAACATCCTGAACAAATTCAAGCACATACCGTAAGATTTCAACCATAAGAAGTTCGGTTGTTGGAATTTTTTTGTTGTTGAAGGTCAGTGGAAGAGGGAAACATCATAAAACGAACTGAAATCACATGAGTTTTTGGTTAATAAGCTAAGTAAAAAGACAAAGGTCTACAAATAACTATAAATTGGGATTGCCATTGTCAGCTCGCATATACTTGTTCTTGATATAGACGAAATGACAGCTCACTGATGCACTTCATAAAATTTGAATCTTTACTGTTCCTGATGGTGAGTTAGTATTTGTTAAGGATTCCATAGTCATTTTCAGCTGCAACGTATACTGAAGCTCTTCAATTTCAATTCTCCGTTCTGCTATTGCTATCAGAAAAGTGGTGATCTACAAGAGGAAAACAGAGAAAATCAAAAATCAAGAATAAGCCTGTAAGAAACCAAAAAATAGATAGAGTAAAATTAATGAAAGAATATAAGTTTGTATTAGAAAGGCAAAGAAGGTTAAGCATCGGACCTGAGTAATGAATCTTTCTCTTGCCACTATTGACATAGCTGTTTTGAGCCCTAAGAGAAGAGCACCAATACATTGTCGTTGACTACCAGGTAATCAGGTTGTTACAACTGGCTCTTTTTTTCAAATCTCAGTACATGCACACTTTAGCCTTTGTTATCCAACTTTCACTTGCTTGCGGCAGAGTTTCAACCTGCCTTCCACCGAATATAAAAAACCTTAGAGCTCACACGCTCGTCTATCTGGTAGTTAAGTTGTCTCATGGCCCTTAAAAGTATATTGCATAGAGTGAGTAGCAGCATCTCACAATTGAGTAGGCATATTAAACAAAGGCAGCTTAATATAACTGCAATCTGAGGGTGGAGCATTTAGTAATAGCATATTAGAACATATTGAACAGTTATCCATATCGTGAACGTAGCAGTGTGAGAATTTTTTTGAACTCATATACTTACCTTGACAGATTGAAAGTGTAGTTGGCAGAAGACGATGTTACCAATATTGCACAAAAATGACCAAATGAGTCCACCTAAACCTTGTTGTTTATCTGAATAGTGAAGAAATTCAACAAATATTTATATTAGACAGATAAATATGATTATAATCATAGCTAGCAAACCTTGGTCGTAAGATAATTTAAGAAATTAATTTACTTTCTCAACAAACCTGAGATAAAGGCAATCTATTGGACATTACCTTGACTCCATCATAGCTTGACTCTATCATAAGTTATCATAAGATGCGTTGAAGCTCTTTAGCTTTTAGCTTCTGTCTGAAAATGTAGCTTTGACAAACACAAATATTATACAAATAACAAACTGAGGTAACTAAATCTGAAGGAAAAATGACCGCTTGTCTCATTTGTTAATTTGGACTTCTAATGTAGTCTAGCTGGTTGTCGCCCATGTATAGCCCGCCCTCAATGACGTAGTTTATATAAGATAAACTTTAAAGTGTTTAGTGATGTTCGATAATAAATATTTCATTTAAGAAAAAAAAATGTTTTTATCAATATTTTAGTGGCAGTGAATTGTTAAACATGGCCACACACTTTTATAACTGAACTAAAATTAAAATTATGTAAATGATATTTGTGTAAATCTTTTATTAAAGAGTAAGCGTTGACATCAGTAGTATAAAGGAAAACATCATGCGGTAAACGTTGTAAACTTTTGAAAATGTACATGCATTCAAGTATAATATGTTGTTGCAAAACATTTAGAGGCTGCTCCAATATCCAAAAATTAATATTAATTGCCTTCACAAACATAGGCACACACTACTTACAACTATTTACGCAAAAAATGTGGAACAATTTGTTAAGGCAGCGAACTATCTAAACCTTGTTAAAAGATCAGTCTCCTTGTTGAAATAGATTCTGGATCTTAGAATGCACAGAGCATTATCTCATTGTTGTTAATAGCAGCAAAGTATTTGTCACCTAACTGAACAACAAATCATGGATAGAACATAACATCATAGTTAACTATAGATGCCAGCAAAGATGAAAGTTACTAAGTTGGAAATCTAGAGGAGTATCTATACATAGTTAGCCATATTTTTCAGGAAAAATAATCTTTCATACAGAAAAGGTTTCAATTGGGTAGAAACTGAAAAAATAATAAGATATAATATCTTAAATTTAGTTTATGCATGCACATACTTTAAGTCTAGTAAAAAGCCTTGAATTTATCACAGAAGTACTTACTATTTGGCATGCTAAACGTCTGACTTCTTGAGGCTCTGCACCCAGATCAAGAATTATAAATGGTTGTGACAAAGTAGAAAGCAGACCAAGCAATGAACTGTTATGATCTTTGTTATGGTTGTGGGCCAATTTTCCTGCAATATGTTTATACAAGTAGAGAATTTAGACCATAAAGTTGATAAGAAAACTAAACAATTAGAGAACAATACTATTTGATTATCTGGTTATGGTTGCCAAGTACCAAAAATAGTATATTTTATTTTATCTTTTTTAGCATTGAACTCTCTGTTCTTTTATGTCTACACTGAATGACGCCCAAACCTAAAGCTAGCAGAATTATTGCAACCAATAATGGCAAGAAGCTGCGAGAATAACAGTTCTTTTTTCAAATATGTCTTCAGGATCTACAGAAGTATTCAGCAAAAGAAATTATACAGTTAAGGGAAACTGAAAAGGTAAAATGAAAATATTAAGATGTCATTCATTTCTAAAGAACTCAAACAATTTAGAAAATTTCGTCAAATAACATGTTAAAACTATTTAAAGAAACTTACCTTGGAATCATCAAGTAGTTTTGTGGAATATTATCTGAAGTAAGTTGATATTGAACGAATTCATTTTAGATCTCCATTGCAGAAACTAAGCCAAGCTCTTTCATTCATTCTGGAGAAGATAAGGAGATATCATATTTTCAACAGCTAAAGAAGAAGAAGAATTTTATTTGGTATACTATTGGAATCTGTCCAGAAATAGGCAAACATGTAAACATATAGATGCACACGCAAAATTATTAATCAAAGCAAGGTTTCAAGTATTAGATGTATATTCAAGAAAAAAATTACTTACCGGATAGTTAGTGCAATATTCAAGTAGTATTCCATCTTTAGGATCTTTAGTGAAGCAAGGATTCAAGATGCAGAGACACCTCAGTTAACATCTATGTGATATCAATCCAATTTGTAGATGCTGAGGATCAATTTTTTGTAGGATATCAGTCAGATGTACATCAAATCTCAAATAAGTGATTGCTCATAGTGTTACTGTTAATTCACAAGAGAGACGCTTGAATGATTTCATCATATACTACATTGTATGTTGTATGATCATCGTTGCTATCAGGTGTTGGTGGTCGGATCAATAATTTCACAGAACTTGAGTTTTTTGCTCGTGATAAAGCAACATAAAGCTGACCGTGGGAAAAAACAGGCTCTCGTAAATAAATTCCAACAAAATCTAACGTCTGACCTTGAGCTTTATTTATTGTCATAGCAAAACATAATCTAATAGGAAATTGTGTTCTTTTGAAAGGAATAGGCAGGTTTTCATCTTGTGAAGACAACAAAGGTATTCTGGGAATAAATACATGTGTGTTTTTCAAGTCACCACTTGCAATTTTAGCACTTATCACATGTCTTTCGAAATTACAACATATAAGTCGTGTACCATTACATAAACCTTCACACGGATTTAAATTACGCAGTAAAATAACGGGACAATTCTTTTTCACAGTTAATTTATACGGAGGCAAGCTAGCTGGGTGTAAAGTATGCAAGAAATCTTCATATTGACTTTGGTCGGTAGTTTCAATAGTTTCGTCAAACGCTACATATGTCCTAGATTCACCTAAAAATTTACTTATTAGCATATCATTTATTTCGTCAACGAAATCATTTTTTGTTGTCAAAATGACACGAGAAGTTGTAGAAGACATATCACAAGCAGATGTATATAAATCTGGATAAATTATTCTAAATAAAAGATTCAACGATTCTTTTTCACTTATAAAAGGAACAATGAAACAATCAGGAATTTCAATCTTACCTTGGCAATTTGGTTTTTCTTTTCCGCTCCCTATTCGCATCAAATATTCGCAAAAAGCAGGATCTGTTCTTGCTCGCATATTTACTGATAATCGCAATTTTTCAAATTGGTTCCAGATTTCAGAATGCAATAAACTTTCTCGTATGAAATCCTCTTTTTTTCCGCTCAGAACAACTGGAAGAGTTTGTCTGAAATCACCGCAAAAAACGACAACTTTTCCACCAAAGAGTGTCTTTGTATCCATTAGATCTTTCAGTATTAAATCTAAAGCTTCTATCAATTGTTTTTTGGCCATTGATACTTCATCCCACACAATTAGTTTGGCATCTCGTATCAATGATGCAAGCGAACTCTGCTTACTAATATTACAGAAGAATTGTTCATCAATATTAATAGGAAATTTAAAACGGGAGTGAGCAGTCCGTCCTCCGGGAAGAATCGAAGCTGCAACACCAGAGGTTGCTGTTGCTAAAGCTACGAATCCTTTTGATCGTACAGCAGCCAATAATGCACGATACAAAAAAGTTTTGCCTGTTCCTCCGGGACCATCGATAAAAAAAGCTCCAGATTTGTTCGTAAATATTCTATCAAGGATTACATCATATGCTTTTCGCTGTTCATTGTTCAATTTTGTTTCTAGTAATAAATCTTCTTCTCTAACAATTATATTTCTTTCAAAATGAGAATCTTGAGCCTCCCTAGCAGCAGATGAAGCTACAATTCTTTCTGGTACAAGTGCAAATTCATTTATATCACGACCCATTGAATGCAAAATGTTGTTAATATGATCTAAAGCCATACGGCGAATTTGTTTCTCATTCAAATGTGGCAAAATCTTGAAGTCTTCAGACATAGAATCTTCAAATCGGTTCCAAAGTTCTTTTGGGTTAGAGGATTACAATATACCAAAAGTGTAGCAAATAAACGTCTTAGACTATAAGGCATTTGATATCTTACAGCTTCTGACATACAGTCAACCAAGTTATTATCACATTGTAATAATCCTTGTTTTTCTGCGGCTTCTCTAAATGTACTACAACATATTCCATTAACAGTTAGCAAATGTTGGTATGATTTTGGTCCTCTAATATTCATTAATAATAATCTAAGATAATATCTTTCCCCCTCTGTTGGATGAGATGTCACAATACGTCCAATAACAGTGCCCTGTTGTCGACGTGTCCACATTTTATATTGTTTGGACCATACAAAATATTCTGGAAATTCTTTATAGAGTAAATTTAGTTTCTTGGCATCTTTATTTTCTCTGTTCATCAAAAAGAATTCCGTCAACATTGTTTTTCTAATCATGGGATTATTTATAATTGCATTTATGGTCTGTGTGGCTTTAAAAGAGACAAATTGTTGTCCTTCAAGATGTAGCTGAAGATGATAAACAGATGGAGTCATTTCGCTAATGGGAAAACCAAATAAACGCCAAGTTGCCTCTGGTGGAGATACCCATCTAGCAGATTGATACTCTTTGATTTCATCTATTTCAATATTTGGATCATCAGCATGTACGAAAAAGGCAATTTTATCATGTCCCTTGCAGATATATTTATAAAGGTATTTGACAACTTTAATATCAGAACAAACTTCAACATTAATATGACAGTTAAATTTGCTCAGTAGATATGGATTGTAAGGAACCACCCACGAATTGTCAAGAAATTGTCCTCTAATATTTACACGTTTACCGTTATTTCGCCTTTTGTAAATTGGGTATCCATTTTTTCCTTTTGATGTATGATCAGCAAAATCTTTTGGATATTTGAACTTACAGTATTCTCGGTTCTTCATACAAGGACATTTAGGATTTAAACTACCACAAGGTCCGTGCATCATATGTTTAGTAACAACTGAAAACAGGTAATCATTCTTATCAGAATCGGGTATTTCAGCACAAACAACTCTATCATAAGCTTCCGGAGTTAACAATTTATATTCGTCTTTGAGTATGATAAGAAAATGAGCATGTGGAAGACCACGCTTTTGAAATTCAATAGTGTACATAAAAGCAACAACTTTTCCAAATATATTACTCTTTAGAATATCTGTTTTCATCTCTTCTACCTTTGCTCTAAACACACGACTAACTAAATCGGGCCTATTTTGTACCTCATCTGTTACCAATAAATGTTTTTCTATTTCTGGCCAAGATGGATTACATGTCATTGTCAAAAATATATCAGGTTTCCCAAAATTTTGCACCAACGCAATAGCGTCCATATATCGTCGGCGCATATCCCTAGGACCTCCTATAAAACTTGCAGGAAGAAAACTTTGTCTGCCAATGTTGCATGGCTCTCTCTCTCCGTGTCTTAGAACATCAAGAATCCCCGCTAACGCATCAATTCTAAATAAATCTTGATTAAATGAATAGAAATCTAACCTTTGAGTCTCAAGCTTGATGAATTCGTCAACTGAGTATTGTTGGAATACTCTTCCGGCATGTAAAACCCCATTTTCTTCATCGTCCCTCATTTGAAGCTTGTAACAATAATACTCACGGCATGACACAGTATTTCTTTTTCTTTTCTTTTTTTCCAGAAGTTCTGCTTCCATGTCAAGTAGCATGTCGACTGAACACATGTTTTCTACACTTGGTAGCTGTTCATTTTCACAATAAGTTCCATGGCTAATAGTATTATTCGTTCGAATAATTTTTTTAATACCACAATGCCATCCGTTTTGTCCATAAGGAAATAGTAATGGATACTGCAATGGATCATAACAACCATAGTAGTAATTTACCAATTGGCTTTTACTACTATGTGTATAAATTCGAATATGTGGTAGAGAAATATTGGAACTACTTTCATCTTCTATCCATATTGCTGCTACTTCAGATGATGTCGGTAAGTTATATGTTCTTTGATCTAAACCAGAGTCGGACTTAAGCGCAATGTAGAAGTTTGATAATTCTGGAATATCTGTTAAAGATTTCAAAAAGATAGAGTATGGATTAACTTTTAATGTGTCCATCAAAGTCCTGATAACCGATTCATTAAGCTTGTCAGAGAATGCCATCCGATTTGCTAGTTCATTATCAGTATCATAGAAATATAACTGTAGATTTTTTGCTGCTTGACTTGAAGGCAGGAGGTCATTTATGAAATGATACATTTTCCCTTGAACTCTAAACGTATAAATACCACAATTTCTTCTTGCTAAATCTCTATCATAATTCACTCCAAGAGAAGTAAATACAAACATATTGTTATACAATCTAACATAAGTACGAAAATGTTTGGACTCCTCAGAATTTCCTAAATAAAGATTTAGCAATTTAGCAGGTAGTCCATAGTGAATCAATTTCACTGATCCATTATCACAACAAAATCCCGGTGATTCATATTGAAATCTTTTGGCTCTACAAAATTTGCAATTCGGCACAGTTTTCAGTATATAAGGACTATTGGGCAAGTCATTAGTGTTCCAGAGACACATTTTTTTAGATGTACGACCTATATATTTTAGATTTACCAGAATGGAAAAAGGTCAGTCCTGAAAAAGAAATGACTGAAATGACATTAAAGCTAGATGGAAACGAACCTTTGCTTGTAGCGTTACGCATGGTAATATTATATTGTTCACTACACGTTCCTGATGTAGACCCTAAGAAAAAACGAATTATCATATAAATTTGAGTCTTGAAAGATTGCACGACTTTGAACACTATACTTTCGCACTTACCAACTTCAAAAACGGGAGAACGATCATGTACATCTTTCCCATTATCAGAAAAAGTGGAATCATTAACTGTGAACACATTTATACTAAAACATAAGAGGAAGTTATGAGCATACAAAATATGTGAATCACATAGTTTATTCAAGGATAACAAAATGTCAGCGCGCAAACCTGTTCTCAAGGTAGAACCTGTTCTCAAGGTAGAAGATGAGGCTCCTGTTAGTGCAGCTCTCTGCTTCGCTAATTCTCTATTAAATTGGTAGCAAGCTGATACTTCAGTGGAATCACTGGTTGGATTCTGCTTTCTAGAATGAAGGTATGTCGTTCGGCGCTCCAGTAAATTTAGTTCTCTTTTATCAGCCGACCTTGCCCTATACATTTCGCGACGTCTTTGTTTAATTTGGATGCCTCTTTCTTCAGAGCATTGACGTTTCCCTTTTTGTTTCCAGCATGTTGGATCCACAGGGTTTTTAAAATTTGACATCTTTGATCTGCATAAGTTTCACATATACCAAATCAAAACTTAGAAGTAAAATATATGCACTACAAACCAATGAATATCAGCACTCACTTATGGTGGTATTAAACAGAATATACCAAAACAGGTAACAACTTTGGATAAAACATGGTAAAACAAAGTAATTTAGCAGGCATCAAAAGTTAAAACATGGATATCTTAAGTAGAAGCAGATCTGGGAAAATTTATTTTTTGCCGCATCGCTTGAACCCGGGACGTTTGACTAAGAGTGAAGAAACCATATTTACGACTTGCACTCGTAATATTTAATTAAGACTTGAGAGTAAAATTTCATAATCCTCTCATCACGATTCTCCGTGTCAATTAATTGTAGTATCGTATAGCATAATTGGATAGCTCATTTCTATCTACTGGACCAACCGATTATATTTCAAATAAAATCCTATGTAACTTACATATACCATATGACTCTTTTCAAATCTTTTTTCCAGTAATATAAACTATACTTTTCTTTCGCCTAATTAAAAACAAGAACGTAAAGGATAAACAAATAAAGCGTACAAGTTTCCTTGTACCTCAGTACCACTAAACATGCCATGAATATGATAAATCAAATGAACTGTAGAGTTCAATGTTACATCTTGAAATTAGGAAGAGTTCCTACTTTTAACAAGTAGTACTACTTTTAACTTGATTCTAATAGATTGCACCTATGGTCACCACCATTAATACTTACAAATTACTAACACTATCATCGATGACAAGAACTTAAGTAGATGGCAGAAGGTTAAAAATGAACCTTCAAATTTTCACCAATTACATAGAGAATTTTGATTGATAGGAACAGTGTTAAAGAAGTATAAGTTTTCTGACAAACATATATTAGGCATTATATTGGCTATAGAACAACATATTTCTATGTTAATTTCGGAGACATTACAAATAAGTAAGGAGATTGAAACAAGAAGTAGAATCTTTTGACAGAAGCTGAGGTCTCAATGTGTTGAAAGGTACATCAAATTAGAACGAAGAGAATCTTCGATGTCGCCGCAAAAATATCTTTTTTCTGGAAACATGATCAATCAGAAATTATTATGTGATATAAGCGAAGAAAATTTTAGTTAACTTACTGGATAATAAATATCCTATTTTCTTGACTAATATGTTTGTCAGAACTTAAGTAGAAATTATTATGTTCCACATTTGATGAACGTAACCTCAATTACTCATTCCAGTTACAAAGATATTTTTCTGTTGACTATCTACCTAGCTACGAATACTACTATATCACTCTATTTGCAATGTTCTTCTATCCAAAAAAATATGACAGAGCAAATATATCAACCCAAGGCAGCCGAAAAACTTGATCCCAAATGTAGCGGGCAACATGATTTGGAGAAATAATGAATTTCACAGTTAATATCTTAAATAGCAGCAACAAAAATTTGGTTCTCCTGTTTTCATCATATCAAAGCAGCAACACAGTATCTGCTAACATAGCTACTCAGCATGCTCAAGATAGATTAACTATTCTGTCGTAGCTTTTAATCGATTTGAAAGCGTTGATCAAAATTGGCATAATAGACATAACATCGTAGATTAAAAGAAATAGTTGTTTTAACCAAGTAATTACCTTGCAACTGTAGGGATAGAATTAAAGACAACTATATGTGGTAAACAAGATTTTACTTCTTCATGTAAAGTTAACAATTGCAATAGCAGAAAAGACTTTCAAATGCAAAGCGACAATTGGAAACAAAAGTTGAAAGATGATCTCAGGTGTTATATCCTCATTTTGTGCCTCTATAAAAACTGAATTTTTGCTTCGATAACACGATGGAGAAGGAACAAAGAGAAATTGTAGAAACACGAAACCAAAATTTGGATTTTTTTTCTTCCCAATTTTATGTTCGTTTTAGGGTCCAAAGAGTGAAAATTTAGCTTTGACAAAGACACAAATTCTACTATCTAAGCTGCTAAAGTGAATTAATTTACCTGAATCCTGGAGAAAACAATCGAAATCCAGCAACAGTGGAGAATATTAGAGGGGAAATAGATCTAGGGTTAAACCAGGGGAAAAGAGAAGAACTATTCAAACCAATAAGCACTGCAAATGTCGATTGTGTTACCGGAGAACTTTTGGTGATGGATTTTAGGGTCCAAAGAGTGAAAATTTAGCTTTGACAAAGACACAAATTCTACTATCTAAGCTGCTAAAGTGAATTAATTTACCTGAATCCTGGAGAAAACAATCGAAATCCAGCAACAGTGGAGAATATTAGAGGGGAAATAGATCTAGGGTTAAACCAGGGGAAAAGAGAAGAACTATTCAAACCAATAAGCACTGCAAATGTCGATTGTGTTACCGGAGAACTTTTGGTGATGGATTTTAGGGTTCAAAGAGTGAAAATTTAGCTTTGACAAAGACACAAATTCTACTATCTAAGCTGCTAAAGTGAATTAATTTACCTGAATCCTGGAGAAAACAATCGAAATCCAGCAACAGTGGAGAATATTAGAGGGGAAATAGATCTAGGGTTAAACCAGGGAAAAATAGAAGAACTATTCAAACCAATACGCACTGCAAATGTCGATTGTGTTACCGGAGAACTTTTGGTGATGGATTATGCGAGAAGCAGAAGGAATTTTGGTGAGAGGTAGTACGAAAAACAGTAGGAAGAAGCTAGCTAAATCAAAATAAAAAGTGACCAGAAATCCCAAAGGATAAAGGCAAAGCTGAGGCGGCGATTATTATAGGGGCAAAAATATAAAAGCTTAAGCTGGCATGTCGACGAAGACGCGTCTGTGTCAGCTGATACACCCGCACTTCTAATATAGTAGAAAAGAATAATCATTAACAAATAGTCTAAAAGATATGGCTGAACGTTTATTGGAGCTTCGAGATGCCACTTCCGGGACTAGACATGCTCAAAGCGCGAGATTACTTTCGCTGGTATCAGTAGGCACCCAATCTAGTTTGTGCTTTCCCACAGTGGAAATTCTGTGCTTTTGCATTCTGTTAAGCGTACGAATAACGAATCTTTCTCCGGGTAGGAATCAATATCTAGACTATACTTCTCATAATGATAAACAAATTCAAGATCCACGTAGTATTTCTCGTAAGAAAACAAGGATAAGATTCATGAATGAGCTCCATTCACGTCTCATCTTGCTAAAGTAAGGCCATGATTTGAAATTCAATCCCCTGTTCCACATAATTCAAGAACAATTAATAGATGATCCAGAATTTCACGCCTAACTGTGACAAGTTATTTATACACTCTTTTTCCAGATAATACAAAAGTTAAAAGACTAAAAAGAAATAACTTTGAGCTATCAAATTCATAGAGGATACAAAAAAACTGGAATAGACAAGATGGAATACAACTAATTTTTCAATCAGCTGCTCCATTATCTCATCTCACTTAAATGCCAACAGTTTTTTGCACTGAAAATGGGCGAGGAATATCAGTGAGCTGACATAACTCTCTTGGTTAATCAACATCATTCTTCAATGCATATAATGATAAGCGTAAAGAGCATGCAAAATAGATATATGGATCGATTTAAATGTAGACCGAGATTGTGAGATTCCATACAACTTGGTACTGTGTTGAGAAACTTCGAGCTTAGACTCTCATGCCTTCCTCTCAACCATGAAGGTGTTCATAATTCCACTTCAGAGGCTGCAGAGTTTTTGCTTAGAAGAGAGTCACATACAGTGGAATCGAGACGATTAATCTTCTTCATAATCTCGCAGAATGTCTTAACTCTGACAGGGTCATTATTATCCTCGTAGTATGCTAGAAACATCTTGATGGTTTCATCCACTGGGAACCAACAACGTTTCTCGGGATTTGCCTTGCTGGCACCCATCTCCAAATACTTCAGAGCCAAATCTATCTGAGTATTTTTTATATAGTAATTTGTGAATGCACCAAAAGTCCTTAAGTTGGGTTCAACACCTTGTTTCAACACATTCTCATAAACCGAATTTGCTTCTTCAATCATATTTCTCTTGAGATAGGACTCTATCATCACATTTGAAATTCTGATTTCATGTCTACAGCCTGAGTCCCATTCTCTAAAACACTTCTCAAGGTTTTCCAAATCCCCTACTTTGGATAAAGCCACAAGCACGATGAGATAGCTCACCTTACTGGGAGTTGGAACAACCGACTTCAATGATTCCCAAGCACGATTGACTCCTGATGAATTAGATGTTTTTTGATACAACGTGATTAGGGTGTGGAATGCCTCACGGTCATTTAAATCTTCTAATTTCTCCATCTTTTGAAGAATACCATTCGCCTTATCAAGGTCGCCGGTATTAATATACATGCCAGCTAGGTTTCCATACGTAAACCAGTCCAACTTTACCTGATTCTTTTCCATCTTTTCAAGAACATTCTCAACTGATACTATATCCTTTACCGAAACATAGCTGGTCATCAACTGATTATAGGTATATAAATCAGCTGCAATATTTGTCTGCTCCATTTCTTGAACCAGTAGAGGGACTTTTTCAGGCTGGCCATTGCTTAAATAAAGAGATATCACATTGTTATAACTTAAGGTAGATGCAAACTTGAGCTCTTTCATCTTCTCAAAAAGCTTCAAAGCTTTATCCAACTTTTTCTGCCTGCAATAACACCAGAGAAGTGCTCCATAGGTTTTACTAGTTTTTTCAGATTCTTGCAAGCTGTCAAAATACTTTTCGGCTGAATCTGCGCCCTCTGTCTTGGCCAGAAGGTCTATCCGTATTGCACGGTCGGCATCGCTGATCGTAATTTTGCTGATTTCCATCCATTTAGACAGCTGCATTTGGAAGTTTAATGATATAGCAACTTGTCAAAGACGGAAGTAGCAGCTTATGTAATTTAAGGGGAAAGAAAAGGAGATCAATCCAGATAAGACTATTTATGAAACAAGAATAATTTGAATTGCAGCAGTCAATGGAATATACATAGCAGACAAAGTCTCAGAAATAGGACTAACACTGACCAAACAAATCTTCTGCTGTTATTATCGTATAACTGTTTGCCCAATCTAAGCACAGGCATTCACAATTAACTGGTCAAGATCGAGACACCAATAGAAAAAAGGATAATACAAATATCGCTTATGCGTCAACTCAAGTCCGGATTACGACGCATAAGCTATATAGCTTATACGTATGCTGCGCTTCCCTTATCGATCATTGTAATATGTCAATTGTATTCATATTTTTGGAAGAAACAATAAGCCAACAAGCATAGTTATTCGAGACTTCACTAATTGCAAATGTGATGAATGTTAACAGCAGTAAAACGGTCATGTCTTTCCACTCTGAATCTCAAACAAATCAAAGCAGTGAAAAATAAGAAAAGCGTCCACTTATTAGTGTTAAATGTTCACGTAAAACTCAACTGAGTGTGTTTGGCATGACCAATTTTTTTTTTAAATTAGTAAGTCATTTTCGGTGTTTGGCTACTAGAAAATAAAACAACTACAGCTCAATCCTAAACAAGTTGGGATCGACTATATGAATTCTCACTAACCATGTCGCTCCATTTAAGCACATACTCTCGATTGTGAGTGGTTACAAGGAAATTAAAAGGATTTAGTTGACTTTTCTTGCTTATGGGGGAAGTCATTTTTCTTTACAACTTTCCCAGCTCTTTTGTATTACTTCATATCACCTGCTCCAAACAACACTTGGACATTATTAACAATTTTAATACCCAAAAGTTTCATCAAAACACTATCCAACTTGCTGACATTACTGTCAATGTTTAATAAACATTTTTTTGAAAAAAAAATTTCACTCACCCACCAAATACTAGCATTTCCATGGGAAAATGTGAACTTTATCATGAGATGCAGAGTCCAATAAGCTACCATGCAAAAGTGAACTAATAATATAATCAATAAATACTACTCCTTCCGTCCCAATTTATGCGGCAGTATTTAACTGTGCACACGGAGTTGAAATAAAGAAACACATTTGAAACTAGCCATCTAAAACAAGTTATAAGCATTTCTGTAGTGTGCTCGCTTGAATAATAACAAAAAAAGACATGGATAAATGAATAGAAGAAAATTAGATACCTGAAGGGCAAGATCAAACCTATTGCTTCTACGGAGATGGCTGAGGCAGTCAATAATCTCTACCTTTCTTAACGGTTTCCCTTCATTATGCAATTTATTCAAAGCATCTGTAAAGTTGGTTTTATTCGGGTCTGCTCTGTTCATAAGGTCCAATAATCTCCGGCGACCGGCGTTTCTTCGGTTGTTTTGAGTGATGGCCCGCGTTGATACCGTCGCCGTCGCCGCTGCCACCTCCATTTCTGTAGAGAACCATCGGCGACACGTCGTCGTTGATCGAAGAAGCCTCAAACAAGTAGCTCTGCTCATCATTTTTCTGGTACTCTAATTAGTTGCAGTGCGTGAAGCAGAGAGGGTTTAACTAGGGTTTTACGAAATGTTTCAGTTTCACATGTACGACGTCATTTTGGGATCGAATTTAGCAGCATTTAACCTAGCTAATACAAAAATTAACCAAAATGACATAATTATAGTACAGTAACGTAAAAGTAACAATAAGTAGGTTATAAGTTGTAACTTATAGGCAAAACGACCTTGTAAACTTGCACATGATTTCCATCCCAATAAACAAACAGTTATATCTTTTCTGTTTAAATACCTCAACTTATATATTTGAGAATTAATAATCCATTTGTAAGTGCATTGTAAATTTACAATCTTGACAATCCGGTCACCAAAAGATCAACTAAAATGCTACACGTCAAATTGGTCTTTTGTTGCTTGGAATGCTACGTTGTGAATTTGTAATGCAAGGGTTTATTAATTCTCAAATATATAAGTTACGAGATTTAAATGGGAACAATGAAAGTTTTTCTTTTTTTTTGGAATCCCAGGAAAACCCGCAGCTGCTATAGCCTCTGCCCTTCGGGTGAACACTCTGTGGTGAGCATTCTATGCGCATTGGGTAAACCCCCCACTGTGTAGTAACCTGCAAACCACACAGGGGATGTAAACCGCACTAGGCAAGCCCCGTGCGACAGGCTCATACCTAGAAGAGCATAGAGTTGGTTTCGAACCTGCGTCATCCATGTGGATATCGCCAGGGGCAGATTTAGAGGGGCGGAAGGGGGTTAATCGAACCCCCTTCGTCGAAAAATTACACTGTATATATAAGGTAAAATCTGGTTTTTAACTCTATATATTAAGTTTTGAACCCCCTTAACACAACCCAAAAGTATAGTTTAGTGGTCAAGGGGGTTATAGGTTGTAGGTTCAATTCCCACTAGCTACAAAAAATTGTTTAAAACCCCCTTCGTGGAGATCCTGTCTCCGCCACTGAATATCGCACTCCAAACCCAATTGGGCCGTCCCTTCGGGACAATGAAAGTTACTTACTAAGGTGAAAATCAGGTAGAAATTTAAGTGGCTACGAGACCGTAACTTATAAGTACTGTGAGCTTTACAAATTTTCAATTAAAACACAAGTCGACTAGATTGAAGATAATTTGACTTTTCAGAGTATATTAGCTTTAAAATTGCGATGTTTCAACTTCAAAATGTACAAATTTACCACAGTAGGTAATTTGCTAATTTTTTCAATTCTCTTCGATTTAATTTAACTCCTCTTTTCTCAATTCTGTGTTACCAAATATTTTAATGTAGTGAAAAAGGTTGTAAATTATGTTTCTGTTTATCTAAGCTTGTCTTTTTCCATTATTATCCAAAACTTCCGGCTTCTGTTTTATTGTTCAGTATTGCTTGTTAAATCTTTCAACGTAATTGTTGTTTAACAGTTTAAGAGCAATTGACAAAGAAGAATTTCATTATTTCAAATATTATCAGTAATAGTTTGGATTAGCTTAAATGTTGGTGGAGGAAAGATTGAAATTTACAAAGTTAGAGCCTTAGAGGCTTGGAAAATAGTAGTAAAAATAGCACGGTATAGCCAGTTTTCGGACTGGTCAATCAAAAATACCAGCGTTTACCAA